CATAAACACATTTCATTACACCAAATACACAAAATAATGTTCTTTTTAGCAGTATCATATGACCCCTTTAAAAAAAAAATTACTGGCATTACTGATGAATTTTATGTCACAGAATAAAACGTGTTAATAAAATGTGTTAACCACAGACCTTATTTCAGGCATACAAACAAAATAAAAAATAAAATAAATAAACCACATTGATTCCAAGACGATGGAATCAGACATGCTAAAATGCAAACTTATTTCTGGGTTCTGGCCTACAAAAATACATAAGCCCTGCAGCACTCTGTAAGACCAATGACATGCATTATGAAAATAAATAGTGCCAATTTTCAACATTCCTAATTTACTGTGAAAGATCCATCACATGAATGTTATTCCAAAAAAAAAAAAAAAATTCATAATCTTTCATCAAAATGTAATCATTTGACTGACACTTGGTTTCCAATGTGTATTTGTGAAGAGCACTCAAGCCTCATGGCAGGACATTCAGGTGAACCTCAGGAAGGTTCTTCAATGCTGGGAACGTAACAGTCAACTGTTCTGTCAATACGAACTAAAAAGTCTAGAATTCCTTCCACCCATGAGCGTACACAGCATTCAAAATAGCAGCAGAGCGAAAAACACTTAAAAGCAGCAAGCAGCCACTGTTCAAAGTTAGGCCGGTTTCACACCACACACGTAAGCAGGGCGTAAGCAACGCATATTTTTTCCGGCACCCATGTTAACAGATTAGAGCATTCACACTCGCAGAGGCGGCACGGCAGCGCGTAGCAGGAGCAGAGCAGAAGCGGCAGTGCCGCAATCGTTTCGGCGCCGAGTCTATTTTTGCTGTGCCGCTTACGCTGGATTAAAGCCACAGTGCATTGTTCTTGATCAAAATTTTCCTGATTAACATGAAAAATAACAATTTCACCATAAAATCATGTGAGGTGTTTCGTGTTTCACATTCACGGGGTAAAAGGCACACAGTATTGATAAATACTTTAGCTAAAATAATGTTTAAGTTAATGCTTGTTAAAAACAATCACTTTAGCAAAGTTTGTACTAGGTTATTTTCTGCTTATTTTGATAAATAATGTTCAATAAATATACTGTCATTAAAATGTTAACAAAAATATATTTTAAAATACAGAAACAAAATAAAAAGTAAAGATTCTGAAAGCATTGAAGGAGATCCCATAATAATTTAATATAGATTTACAGTAGTAACAACAAATTATATCTTATTATATGATATGATTAATATCATGTTTTTAAATATGATGGTTTAATTATAAACATGGTGATTATCTCTAAGGTGGACACCCAACATAATATATAATATTTACCATCTTAATCTAACCATGTCATGTCAACAATTGGAAAAGTCAGCCATCTATTAATTATTGTGATAATTATTGTGCCTTTCGCCCCAACAGCAGGGGCGCTTTTTACCCCAATACCATACTTTTACATATTCTTCTCTTATCTTAAACCAAACTGGGAATCATTAAGAAGACCTTTGTCTCAAAATATATTCAATAATTTTTAGCGATTCTCATTTGCTACTTAAATCTACAACATTTAAAAAAAAACATCAAATATTAGAGTTGGCACAGAATCAACTACACGAAAACACATCACTGCCAGGAGTTATTGCCCAAACTTCAAAGGCCTGTTTGAATTATTAAAACTAGAGGCATTTATCAACTTTAAGATTATTTTTATCATGTAAACTATATGTACAGCATGTTATATGCATGTGACAGAGGGGAACATGGCTGCATCACAGCATGCTGCCCATATCAAAGCACATGACAGACAGTTGTCGGAGAACACCTGAAAAGCGTGACCGAATGAACGATACTCATCTGTATTTGCAGTACACAAGCCGCGGTTCAGCAGCGAGCGACAAACACTAAAGTCTAAAGCTACATGCCTTTCTAAATCCAACTGCCCACACAGTCGCACATGCTTTTTTGTGTTCATCTCCAAATGAAAGACGTCACCACACAATAGATCTCAATCGCTGTCACCGCTTGCAAAAACAAAGCGTTTTCCATTTCGGCACCATGATTCCTGCCATTAAAGGGAAGCATTTATATTTTGGCAAAGCAGCAGCAACTTCACCACAAGTCACTCAACAGGAATTTCATTGCATCAATGATATTTTCGAAGATATGTCGTAAGATCTAAATAAGACTTGGAAGCGGACCGCAGGGAATGTATTTGTTTTCAAACATGAGATGAACTGTATACTGTTGTTAGGGACACAGTGTTTGATAAGATTATGTGTGATTAAGCATCGGGATGAATGCATGTTATTGTTTAGAGATTACTCAAATTACTCAAAGAAACATCTGTGGTACGTATAGAGCGAGCAAACTAGATAAACGCTTAGTCAGATTTTCATCGGGCCCTAAAATATCATCCCTTTGACTTGCCAGTTAAAAATAAACAAAGCCGAAGTTGAACTGTTTGAGAAGGGAGCGAGGGAATGCGAGGGGCTCTCGGAGCCTGACGTTGATCAAGAGAGAAGAATAGAAGTCAGTCGTTTTTCATCTGTAAGAATTCACAATAGTGATAGGCTTCATTTGTCAAGTGACAATCGGTTAAAAGCCACTTTAAACATGATACTCTTACAACTTAATGCATACATGGGAGGTCACGTAGACTAGCTAGATATAAACATCTTTTACAGCTGTGGCTGTCTGCCAAAGGAAGAAAAACAATCAGGAACAGCATTTTTACATTTTCTGAAGAAAATCTGAGTGCTGCTTGTCCGAACAAAAATCGCTGCCAGAGGTTTTTATGCAGTTGCTAAGGTGTTCTTAGTGGTTTATATGAATTGCTATGAGGTCGCTAAGGTATTCTGGGTGGTCTCTGTGATATTCGGTTTCTAGATATGGCTTGAGTTCCTCCTTTATCGTAAGACTGAGTTTTTTGGGGTTTTGCCTTTTTTATTATCAGGCAAAAACATACTAGTGCGACTGCTCTTTCTACAAAAAGCCACACGATTTAGGAGGTATCATAAACCACATACAGAGATTCCAGAAAAAAAAAAATCTGGAAAAATTCCAGGATTAATCATGACAATGCACCTAGGTCCTGATACAAGGATCAAATCTTCCAGCATTCCAGCTTGGATTCACACAAAAGGCTCTCAAGCAATTTCACTCCAATGTTCCAGAAACAAAAAAGCAGTGTGAATGTAGCTTTTTAATTCTGTAGCGAACAGTGACTTAAGAAAAACTTTTTGATACATCATGTAAATGCAGAAACATTCCTCATACATTATGTAAAAGTAAATAGCCTTATCCTAAAAGCGAGAAAGTAGTTCGACACACACGTGTTTCTGCTGAAGAATGCAAATGGGCATGTAAATGTGTCACTAACAAATTTTTGGTGTAAATGTAAACGTAGACAGTATGGGACGAGTTACATACCAAAAATTATTACGACCAATACTGAGAGTCATACTTATCTTTTTTTATTAGCAAGTAGCTATGTCAATATTGCTGCATTATCTTGGATGTCTAAACATTGCCCATTTACAACCCTTTTTACAACCAAGAACCTACTCATTAGATTCCAGTATAGCAAGAACGTTTAATTTTCTTCTTTCTGATACGAAAAAGCTATTTTGTTACCTAATACTGTGGTTTTCATCAGTCATCAACCTCTGAACGCTGTTTCTAACATTATGGCAGACACATTGGAGCTTTCTTGACCCCTCATTTGGTGAAGGAAATTCTTCCTTCCACGAGATCAAAGCCAATGTATCAGAAGCCAGAGGGCAGATCAATTATCTGAGCACTTACCACTGTCCAGCTTGTTACGATCAGATGTTCAGACAAAACTGGCTCTTTTCAGGGGCCAGAGGGGAGGGGGGTAATCAAATAGCTCTCTATTTTTCTTCCTCTGCCGAGTCTCTTGCACATTGACAAATGTCATTCTGTAAAAAAATCCAGCACTGGTCCCCTGAAAGCCCAGCAGCTGTGCTGGCCGGGAACTCCTGAGGCACATTGCCACCAGATTCCCACTTGACAACGGGGGAAAACAAGCAGGTGTGCAGCTGAGGAAGACAAGTATATTCGAAAAGAGAAATTATGGGGGAAGCCACATACACAGACCAAACGCCTTGACCACGATTACATGACAGATGACTGGAAAAGAAAAAAAAAACACATCCTTAAGAAGCCAAGTAAGCTGACTTCAGAGGAGAACAAAGTGCTTATGCTTGCTCTTTGTGTGATAAGAAATGGGATGGAGGCAGAGTCATTAAAACTGTGTGAGATAAGAGAGAGCTCATTCAGAAAGGTCCGACCCTTCTGATTAAGAGGCTAATTCACTAGATGTCAGTCAAACCTGGAAGGAGAATGTTTTACATCTCGCTAAAAATGAGACAAAGTCCTTGAACAATAAAAGCCTTTTCTTCAGTAACTCTTTCTTATCAAAATCCTTTAACCACAAAAATCCCAATGCAATACTTTTTGTTAGATGGTGATATTAACATTACTCTAAATTCATAAATGATTTCAAGTTAAAAGTTCTAAAAATTCAGCACAGGAGCAGGTAGTGCTGAACTGGAAATGGACCTATGAAAAAAACTGGCACCATTCTGCTTCAAAATTAACTGAATAAGGAGACCTTCAAAACAGGAAAAAAATTATAAAAAATACCAACAGATTTTAATGAAAGAAACAAGACAGTATAGTCACATACTACTGCACTCGGTCTTACCAGTTTCTCTTTGAAGACCATCTGTCTCAGCCATTTAAAGTCAAGAGGTTTGAAAGCAGAGAAGACAAAGAGGGAATCTTTCTCATAGCGCTCGGGCTTCTGGATGGACCCTTCTGGGTAGGTTATCCTCAGGGTGGTCTTAGTACCTACATCTCTGGTGTAACCACTCACTGGGGCCTCGTTGAGTCTAAAGAATAAATATACTGAAAATCAGTGCAAATCAGCAGCATAAAATCCTTTCGTTTATTCAGTTTATTGATTTGGTCATTAAAAAGGCAGAGCAAGGTGACTGTGTGGAGACTCACCTTATCACAACGTCATATTCATCGATGCAGGATCCTAAAGACTTGTTGCTAAGGATACCACCATTGCCTACTATTATACATCTTTTACAACTCAAACTGCAAAGAGAACATATGAGAAGACAGGTGGCATTACTCAAAAATGCACAGCCATATTCTTTACAGAAAGAGTCTTTACAGCCATATTCAGCATATAAAAAAATGACAAGCTTAACTTGATATTGCCTATATTGCACAGTCAGGTCAGGTAGAAAATATATAAAATAATAAAAATATACACGATATACATTCGTTATACAAACCATGACAATCTGAGCCAAATGGAACATTTAATGCTTGATACAAATTATACAAACATATACATAAACTACTGCTCCAAAGTTTGGGGTCAGTAAGATATTTATTTTAGTTATTTTTTGAATGAAAATTTTTTTTTCAGCAAGGATGCATTAAACTGATCAAAAGGGACAGTAAAGATTTTGGCAAGAATTGTTTAAAATTTCATTCTGATTTGTCACATCATCTCAGCTGAAATCTGAAGTGATCTAAAGCAAATGCAAAAAGAATTAAATAAATGCAAAAAGAATTTGGATTACCAACATTGTTAGATTTCTTTTTGAATAAATGCTGTTCTTGTGAACTTTCTATTCATTAAAGAATCCTGAAAAAAATTTCACTGTTTCCACAAAAATATTAAGTAGCAAAACTGATCACAACATTTAAAATAATAAGAAATGTTTCTTGAGATACAAAAAAAGCATATTAGAATGATTTCTGAAGGATCATGTGACACTGAAGACTAAAATAAAAATCAAGTTATTTTATATTGTATTAATATTTCACAATATTACTGTTGTTACAGTATTTCTGATCAAATAAATGTAGCCTTGATGAGCATAAGACACTTAAAAAAATATATAATAATAATAATAATCATAACCCCAAACTTTTGAGCAATAGTGTATCTAAAAATGAGATTTGACTGTGGGCGTCTCTAAGATAAAAACTGAACAGAACTCAGAAGAGATGGCTTTATGGCATCACAGCTGGTTAGGACATGGACCTTTGGGGGCAAATTAATTTGTAGTGATGCATTTCAAAAGTCTTACCTATCTAAATCTGGACCCAGTCCATAATTCTTTGTGGCAGTTAATATAACATCTATGATTCTTTCTGTAGAGAGATAACAAAAAAGAACAAAGAGATGAAACAAATACACTTCTAGATGGTAATGGCTTTAATCTGATTCAAATGATTTAATCTGATTTCAAATTTTCTTCAATTATCTGCACTCCTGGTGATCTGATGGAGGAGCATGACTGTGTTATTCACTCCTGGAAGTTGTATTAGCAACTGAAAATAAGTTACTGACACTTTGAAAAAAAAAAAAAAAAAGTCTGTAAAAGTGGAATGCCATTTGCAAGCAAGTAAAATTCCTTTGCCTTCCTTCAATTCATGCTTTCCAACACTCTCAGTCTATTTACAGAGCTGTTTGGTCATAGCGATCATTCCCCCGATACACTTGAAGGCATTCATGGCTGCCACACATTATGTCACTTGATTATCAGCGAAGACACCGGATTTCCTAGTAAGGGTGCATAAGCATGACCCATTGAGTTGCCTAAAAGCATCAGTATGCATACTATAAAAGTCCAAAGACAGGAAAACAGTTTGGAAAACAGCTAATTCTATGAGGACAATGTATACAGCCTTGCCCATTTTATCATCATACCTTTTTGACCCTAATATATTCCATTGAACAAAAATCAAGGCATAACACAAAGCGAAACACTTTGGGAGGTCTGCTAGGCACTTTGCAGTACGTGTGAGGCGCCAAATCTACATCTGTACATAATTCTTTCTTTTTTTCCTCGTCCGGTGGTTTGAAAGCATCTACCCTAAAGACTATCATTACTGTTTCTGACAACAAAGAGCAAACATGTGAGATTATCTTTCTTATTGGCATAGACGCTATGTTATTGAGAGGCAAACATAATAGGACGTACCAATGCAGTCCTGTGGTTTGAAGCAAATGGTTGTGATTAGGGATGCGCCGATCCGATATTCATATCGGGTATCGGCTCTGATAGTGCCATTTTTCTCGGATCGGGTATCGGTCAGAGAGGGCCGATCCAAATCCGAGATTTGTTTTAAGATCAATGGCATAAACATTTCAGTCAAGTATCACTCTTGGCAGTTTAAACAAATGAGACCCTCATCTTTAACATACACTGTTTTGGCAAGAGGAAAACCACATTCTGAAATAAAGTAGAAATGAACAGGTATGATGCAAATACGTTTAGGAGTTATATCACAAAACCATCTGGAGCATGACTTCTGAGAGTGCGAGTCACATAATTATTATTTTTTTTTCATGTAATGTTTGTCAAAAGGCTTTTTTTTGTTTAAAAACGGATTAAACATGCTCATAAACTATTTTAACAATTCATCATGAGTATTAGAGGAACTTCACCAAAGTAGCTGAGAGTGACACTTCATCCTGAGTCACTGGAGACATTTTAAGAGGCTACTTAATACTGTAAGGCACTTCAAAGGCCAAACTTAGAGTCAAAACAGCCCTAATGGTTTATTCTCCTTTGAGGTATTTGGTTCATCCATCTGTAAAGGATGTTGGGATTACCCTACAGTTGACACAACCATCTGGTGATTTCAACAATACAGCAAGTGAAAACCTTCTGTAAATTTATTTGGCCTCCATAACAGTTGGTGTAGTGCAAAAGATAACGTAATAGCTTGAAATCTATATTGACCCTAAACTGTAAGCTTAATGATTAAAAAGCATCAGGGAGTAGCCGTCATTGTTTGGACAAAGCGCTGACGGCTCACATCAAGCATCACCATGGACTGCATAAACAGTGGCGGGACCACACTGGAATAAGAACCAAAAAAAAATAAAAAATGAAGGAAAAAATAAAAAATTATATATATATATATTGTGACGAGCG